ATGGAAGGGTGTAAAGAGCATTTGCTGAGGAATCAGATGGAGCTGGGATGAAGTCAGAATTCTGACGATTAGCTGTGCGAAGTCGGGCACGTTAAGCTAAGACTCGATCATATACCCTACCTCATGGGGTGGGGAGAATGAGATAGGATTCGGCAAGAGGCGAGCTTCACGGAGTCCTGGCACACAGAGAGAGAACCCGGGACGGTGAGCGGGGGCATCTGTGCAATGCAGAAGCATCTCCACTTCTCCTGCGGGGCTGTCTCCCTCACCTCTACCCACCAAGTCTCTCACTGCATTTTCTACCGTGACTCTTGACATTCGCCCCAAGTGAGCCTTCTTTTCTGAAGGATTTCGTCTTCTTTACTTTCTCTCCTGAGTCTGACAGTCCCCCTCTGATATCCTCTTTCCATCTGGCTATTTTACCCAATGGAGGAGCACTGCTGGTGTCCCACCCAGCTGCCTCTAAGATGCCCTGAGGGTTGGCTGATGGGGGGCTCACAGCTACCTGGGGATGGAGGAGGTATTTGCTCTCTGTGTTGTTTTGAATGTTTTCTTTAGGAGGAGAAACAGATTTGAATCCAGCAGCTGCTGTTCCTACCGGAACCAGTTTGCATTCTCTTAAAAAAAAAAAAAAACACTAGGGGCGCCTGGGTGGCTCAGTCGTTAAGCGTCTGCCTTCAGCTCAGGTCATGACCCCAGGGTCCTGGGATGGAGCCCCGCATCAGGCTCCCTGCTTCTCCCTCTCCCGCTCCCCCTGCTTGTGTTCCCTCTCTCGCTGTGTCTCTCTCTGTCAAATAAATAAAATATTTTTAAAAAAGAGAGAGAGAAACACTGGAATATCTAGAATAAAGGGATGAGAAATGGCCACATGTATTCCAAAGAAAGTGTCACGGGGCTTCAACGGGGAGTGGTCACAGACTATCTCCACCTTGAGAGAGGAAAGGTCAAATCAGAAGAGACCATCTCTGAGGTGACCCCATGTCCCAAAGCTTGTTCCTCTTTTAAAATTAAACCGAATCAGCATGCTGTGATTTTGGCCTCTGATGCCGGAAGTGAACAAGATGCACAAGACACACAAGACGCGGCTGACAGTTCAGGAGTTAGAATTTTTAGTGCAGAAATTGTATTATTTATTTGATGACTTTATGACATCGAGGCAAGACCACAAAAAACCGAAATGAAGACTTTAACCGCATAGCAGTATCTCCCTGCAAGATGAACATCCCCTGTTGGTTTATTTTTCAGTCTTGAGGTCCAACAGTGACAGAAGTGGCTATGGAAGCAAGTCAGGAAGAACAAGGGACACCGTGTGCATCCCTGGCAAACACTGTGTTGGTATTAGAATACTTGTCAGTATCACTATTGATATTGGAATAGTAACGAATTACTACTGAATAGTTAGTAGCAAGTAAACAAATGGATGTTGCAGAAAGAGGACAGGAAGTCTGTGTCACAATAGAACCTGTCCCTAGCGAGTCTCCCAAAATGTATGGAAGACATTTTGAAGGTACAGACATTCTTATTGGTCAGATCGGCTGGCAGTCCACTGATGCCCTCCAAGATTGGTTCCAAGATTGGTTCAGGGCTGAAATGCAGAAGAGTGACTGGCTGGCAGCTTACTGTGACACTGAAGAAAATATCTGAAATCACCTAATTGTCCCACATAGGGCAAAAAATGGAGTACATGCAATGTTATGTTGTAGTATCACCGACAAAAATAAGAAAATGGAATGGACATATTTGGACACCGGTAGACTTGTGTATGGAAGGAAAACAACAGGTGTACAAAATGTTTTCCACAAGAAACCAAGGAACTTACACTGTTTTGACAGTGGTTGGCTCACGTCCCCACAGTCTCAATGTGCCCGTCCCCCGGATGCACTCCCTCCCTGCCTTGCTCTACTGGGCCGCTACTTTAAAGTTTGCCCTTCTCCAAATGTGAGTTTTTAATACAGATCCAAAGCTCTTTCGATTTTGTACTGCTTACCTCAGTACTGCAGTGTTTGCTTTTTTAAAAATTAGTGGGATCTGAACACATCAGTGGGAGTAGGCTGTGGGGGAGAGCCTAGGAAGATGGCCGCCAGTGGCCTCCCTGGCTGCCCTCACTTAGCTTCTCTTCTCCAAGTAGTCACTAGAATGATACCAGCTACTGCAACAAACAGGCCCAAACAAATGACTCAAACACAATAAAAGTTTACTTCTCACTCAACGTAAAGTCTAAATTGCGTGTTTCCACTTGACAGCCATTTTCTTCCCAAGTGACGTTGCCGCAATGACACTGGCTCCTTCCACCCGGCTCCTTCCACCCAGTGACCCCGCCTGCCCCAGACAGGTGCAAGGGGAGGAGCCTAGAGGGAGTGGGGCACGTCAAAGCCTGGACTTCGGTCATAGGCCACATTCACCCACCAGGGAAACCCAGTCCTTTTCTGTGTCCCAGGAACTGGGGTTGGTGAAGAGCAAGCCAGTAATCACCCTGACGTCAGAGTTAGGGGAAGGGAAGGAGACAAGTAAACAAAAGTGCTGGAAGTTGGATACATGCAGGTTACACAGCCCTTTCCAGCATCCTTTGTGACCCTGGCAGCATCATAGGCCACCTGGGAGCATCATAGGCCACCCGGGAGACTGTTCCTGTTGTCCCAGCTTTATACTCCAGAAAACCGAGGCTCAGAGAGTCCAGTTTAAGGCCAGCATTCAAAACCTAGCTCTCCAGGGCGCCTGGGTGGCTCAGTCATTAAGCATCTGCCTTCCACTCAGGTCATGATCCCAGGGTCCTGGGATCGAGCCCCGCATCGGGCTCCCTGCTCCGCGGAGAGCCTGCTTCTCCTTCTCTCTCTGCCCTCCGCTCTGCCTACTTGTGTTCTCTCTCTCTGTCAAATAAATAAATAAAATCTTTAAAAAAAAAAAAAACAAAAAAACACCCTAGCTCTCCAGCCAGCCTATTCCTCCAGCAGATCTGTTTATGCCAAGGCCAGGCCAGCGTGCCCTGAGACACCCGAGCACCACCTGACCATTCTCACCTCGCCAAATGGGACTGAAATCCACACACAGAGCAGGGCAGCTCCAGAGGGCTCCCGTTTGATGCCAGGAAACTGAAGCCAACTCCCCCACATCCTCATTCTTGTCTCGGTTCCTTTTCCAGGGACCACGCCTCACCCTGCCAGCCAAAACCAGACCCCAGGCAAGAAGGCTCAGGATCCTGGCACCTCCAGTTCTGCCAGCGGCACCACACTGCCTGCCTCCAGGCACCTCTCTGGAGCTCAGCCTCCTGGTGTCAGACCAGATTCTGGCCCAGCTCGGTCTCAGACTCATCCTTGGAGGTCAGCCTCTGGAAAGAGCGCTCTGAGACCTCCCCACTGACCACTGGGACTCACACAAGCACCATCCTGGGGCTGGTCCTTCGGCCCCACCAGTTCACACACCCAAAACGATAATATTCTCTCTTCCTCTCTCTCACACACACGCACATTTTCTCTCCTCTCCTTGAATGTGGGAATTTCGATTACGTAGTCTCAGGCACTTGTTGGCTATCACTAGGGGAGGACAACAGTTTCGTCCACTCTTTAGGGGAGCTGAGTCTCCCCACTCACCATAAACTGCCCTTCCCAGTATCTGGGTTCAGGCAGCTCTGGACCATGTACTCGCCGTGGTTCCCTCAGCTCCAGACTTTGGGATGAGGGAGCAGGGCCATAACCACCACCGTAGACTTTTTTCATGGCCCCCATGTTGGGACGCTGGTTTCTGCTAACCTGACTAACTGGGAGGAGGATGCAGAGCCGCCCACATTCCTAACCATCACCTCTGCCCAAAGGAGATGAGGTGGTTTAAATAAAAGGTACAAGAAGCCCCTGAAAATAAAGGTAGTGAACCAAAGTCCAGCCATGGTGAGTAGGAAGATGATTATCCCCCAGACCCCAGCCTGAGGGGAACTGATGCCATTAAGCAGCAAAAATGCATTGGAGCCTTCTAGCAGCAAGGCAAGGAGCAAGGGTTTCTTCTAATTGAAGACAACTTCGATTGCTCAGGGCAGAAAAATTCTTCTCAAGCACCAGATTTGAAAAAGGAATTTGATAGTCTGCTTATTGTGGAAGGAATGTTGAAGATGGTTTCTCTGAGGAGTCTGGCAAAGGGTGCAACACAGAGCCTTGTTTCTGGTGATTCTATGTTCAGCTAGTGTTAGGGTGCGGTTCTGTGCAGAATGTCTCCTGGGGGGCACAAGCCAGAGAGGCCAGCCCATTGAGAGGGCCTTGGCAACAAGGACAAAGGCTCAGCAGCATGCAAGTCACAGTCCAAGACTCTGACGGTGCAGGTGTCCTGCAGGTGGTTTCTTCCTCTCCTCTGCCCCATGTTCCCAGCCCCGGGGCACAATATAGCTCCAAGATCATCTCAGGCCATGTCTCTGAGTGTTCTAAAGGGGGTCCTCTCTCCCGCCCACGGCCCAACCCTGGCCCCAGGGGTTTTCAGGAGGATCCCCCACACCCTGGAAGTCAGGCAAAGTCCTGGTGGAGAGATAGAGATTTTACAGCGATTTCATAAACTATAAATTAAAGTAATCCACAGGTCCCCTCCCAGTTCCTTCCCCTTCCTGACCCAGCACCAGCACTTCACACATGACCCAGAATGGGATGGGAATGGGGACACGTGACCGGGAGAAACAGATCCGTTCTTTCGCCCCCATCCATCTCCACGGGAGGCTAAAGAAGATGTTGCAGTTGCCTCCTGTCTGTGGATCTCAGGTCTAACCCCCAATTCCAAACTCTTGTGTGTCATACGCCTTCTTCTGGGAGGACACACATTGGCCCTGAGCTTACCTGCCGGACACCCTGACACTGGGATCCAGGCAATCTAACCCAACCAAGCAGGACTGGGAGGCCCAAAAATGGTCACCACATGACACCTGGCCTTCAAGACCACCTGCCTGGGTAATGCCAGCCCCTGGAGAGGGGAATAGGAGGGGCCTGAGTCACCAGCCCCCCAGTGATTACTGTTAGGCTTCCAGTAGCTACCAATATGCCTAAACACCCACCATAAACACAAACACATGATCCTGTTCTGGTGATGCACAATTTTATGTGAGGGAGTGTCTTCGTTGTCTATTTCTGCACAACAGATCATCCCCCCAACTTAACAGCTTAAAGAAATAAACACTGATCATCTCACACAGTTTCTGTGGGTCGACAACTTGGGAGTGGCTTTGCTGGGCAGTTCTGGTTCTGGGTCTGCAGGCACTGGAAGATTTGACTGGGACTGGAAGATCTGTCCTCGGGATGGTTCATACACATGGCTGTTGGCAGGAGCCTTCATTCCTTGCTGGCTATTAACAGGAGACTTTGATTACTCCCCACAAGGACCTCTCCGCAGGGCTGCTGGGGTGTCTTCACAACTCAGCAGCTGGTCTTGCCCAGAGCAAGTCACCTGAGAGAGAAAGAGAGAGCGAGAACAAGGGGGAAGCCACGTGCCTTTTATAACCTAGTCTCAGAAATTACAGCATCAATCCTACAGCTTCCTATTCATTAGAACTCAGTCACTGAGGCCAGCTTACACTCAAGGGAAGGACATTAGGCTCCGTCTCTTGAAGGGGGTTATCAAGGAATTTGTGGACATAATTTAACAGGAGGTTTCCTAATTCAAATAGCTGCAAGACCTCTCTCAAGACAACTCTAAAGATTTTTCAAGTGATGTCGATCAGAGAATTAGTTCATGGTGGCTCCCAGGACCCTCAAGCAACAGGAAACTCCCAGTGAGCTAGGGAGCCAGGCAGAGGAAGAAGACATGCGTAAGAGAGGAAGGGTGTTGCTGTGGTGTGGCTTTACAGTGGGGATGTGTTATTAGAGGGCCGTCCCATCATCTCTTGGATTTGACCTGCCAGCTCATTCCATCTTAACACTTAGCAATTCAGCCTACCCAGGAGCCATCAGGCATAAAGATCACTCTTTCTTCTTTCCTCCCTCCCTCCTTCCTTCTCTCCCTCTTCCTCTTTCTTTCTTTCCTCAGCTCACCTAAGAATGATTTGACAATAAATTTAACAATTTATCCAGAGAACTATAACCAGTGTCTTACTGATATTACCCTAGTTCATACATTTCTTACTGGGGGGAAAATGAAACAGACACTGGATTTTCTCTGTCACAGGCTATGTCTGCAGTCGGATCCTTCATTTCTAATAAGCAACACACCCAGTGTCCATAAAAACTCCACTGTACACAGACTCATGTTAAGTAGGAGTACACCTTTGGTGAAAATCAAGGGAGAGTGGCGCCTGGGTGGCTCAGTCGTTAAGCATCTGTCTTCTGCTCAGGTCATGATCCCAGAGTCCTGGGATCGAGCCCCGCATCGGGCTCCCTGCTCGGTGGGGAGCCTGCTTCTCCCTCTCCCACTCCCCCTGCTTGTGTTCCCTCTCTCGCTGTGTCTCTCTCTGTCAAATAAATAAATCAAATCTTAGAAAAGAAAATCAAGGGAGACACCGGGCTTGCATACTCACAGAAACTGGGGAGGCACCAGCCAGTAAGGGGAGCTGGGCCAGGTACCGACAGGGTCCACTACGCTGGTGACTTTCCATTCAGTAAATGTACCTCAGATATGCTCTGTAAGGCCCCACCCAAAGCTGGGGCACCCAAGTTCCTATAAGGGATCATAAGAAACAAACCCGCATTGCAGAAAGAGACACTTATCTCTTTCGACCTTGGCAGAAAGTGGGGAGAAAATTCTCCCTTGAGAATTTATATCCACAAGGCAACCCTCACACAGAGGATCTAAATTCCCACACCAATTGTGCGTTCCAAAAACCTCAAATGGAAAATTTTAATTTAAAGTACTCTTAGATTAATAGTGCCTCCAAGAAAGAGGGGGAGGAAAGCAAAGCAAAAAAACAACACAATGAATAGAAAGTGTGTAAAATGATAGAAAAAGAATGTATTAGGAATCAAAATAAATACAAATGGACTAAGCTCTGCAGATAGAAGACAGATGATCCGATGAATATTTTATAATCCCACGCACTGTTTCCAAGAGATACCTTTAAAACCTACAGAGAGAGTCAGTAGGGACTTTATTCCTTTTTGTTCCTAGGGAACAAAACTAAAATACAATCTTCAAGGGCAAAATCACCAGGTGTGTGAGTGCTGTCCAAATTTTGTAAGTTAGGCTTGTTTTTGTGTGTTGAGATTGCTAATTAAAGACAGTTCTCTACAGTATTGTGCCAGGTAATTCATTTGACGCAGTATTAGTCTGGAAAATGTGAAGAAAGGCCCAAGATCATGGTTGGGGTTGATGAGGTATATAGAGCATACAGACATCTTTATCACTGAACCATGTCTGCATAATGAGCCATGGAAACCTCAACTCCAAATTCTCTTATGAAGATTGTACGAGTTGACACAAGTAAGACTAAGTGTCAAGCACCATGCTATGTGCTCATAAATAACAGATATGATCACAGGCAGAGGTAAGATCAAACATTCCTTAGGCTCAGATTCTGAACGCAAACAACACTGGCTGAACAAAACGTTTACCCTACAATCCTAATTACTCTGGGCTTCACAAGCTGTACCCAGAAAGACAAGGAACGCTGAGCTCGAGGATCGTCCTTGGATGCTTTTCATTCTTCTGTGTATGGGAATAAATATTGTATATATATGTAACTCATTACCAAAGACTGTTGCAGGGGTTCTTTCCGTGATTGAGAAAAAGGCCAAGGAATTCCTGGAAGTTTTTCAAATTCTATGGGAGGGTTTTCCATTCTCAAAATGAGTGTAGAGTGCCACCATCTTGTGGTTGTTTCACACAATTTCCTTTCTGGAAGCGCTCCCTACTCCCCAGAATTTAAACAGCCCATTCCATTTCCAAAGGTCCCCATTAGTGTTGCCACGAGTAAAAACTCTGGGTTAATTTACACCAAGATGACACAGTGAGCCACAGGCTGGGCAAAATAAAAAAGGACTAGATGCTATAGAGTATGATCCTTTCCAGTGAATGGACAGTTCTATCTACACAGAGAAAGAAAAGGCTACAGGTGCCACATGACTTTCAAGCTTGAACCTGGAACATTCCCTGGGAAACCTGAAACTCCCCATTCAGACCTGCTCCTCATGCAAGGACACTTTCTCAGCTGTAACTTTCTGGGAAATCTGTCTTGCATCTCACCTCCAAACTAGTCTCCAATCAAACTTTGGGTGATGGAAAATAAGAGTGTCATCTAACCTACTCATCCTGGCTTTCATTCAAGGCTTCTTGGGTTCTAGGTATTACATACTAGATCCTCCAGTCTTTTGTCCAACTACTGACCAGGATGAATCTTACATTTCTAGCAGTTCCTTCTTTCGTTGCTGGCTTTTGCTTCCATGCTCGTTCCATCCTAGAGCTCTAGATGACCTACACGTTCTTCTGTGACTACCTAGAATTCCTTCTGGCTGTGAAGTCTTCCCCAGGAACACTGGCCCAAGTGGTCTTCTGGTCAACCTCTCACACTACTGCACCTCCTCGCTTGCTTACGTTCAGTCTCCCGGGATCAGAAGGTCCCTGAAATCAGAGGTCACAGGTTAGTATCATCACTGCGTGTATTACTCTCCCAGATCTCTGCATCGCTGATTCCCTTGCTTAAGATCTCTGTTCAATGTTGCTTCTTCACTGAGGGCCTGTGTAAAACCATGCCACCTTCTGTAACACATCAGCACCTGATGCACTACATATTTACTTGATTTTAACTCCTAGAATGTGAACTCCATGATGGCAGTACTTACTTGGTTTGTTTACTACTGTATCCCCAGCACCTAGCTTTCTAAGTGACATACATACCTACCTGGCATGTTACAGGCACACAAAAACCTTTCTTTTTTGGGACGCTTGGGTGGCTCAGTCGTTAAGCGTCTGCCTTCGGCTCAGGTCATGATCCCAGGGTCCTGGGATCGACTCCCGCATCAGGCTCCTTGCTCAGCAGGGAGCCAGCTTCTCCCTCTGCCTGCAGCTCCCCCTGCTTGTACCTTTGCTCACTCTCTCTGGCTCACTCTCTCTAACAAATAAATAAATAAAATCTAAAAAAAAAAAGTTTCTTTTTTTTAAAGATTTTATTTATTTATTTATTTATTTATTTATTTATTTGACAGAGAGAGAGAGAGAGAGAGAGCACAAGCAGGGGGAGTGGCAGGCAGAGGGAGGAGAAATAGACTCCCTGTGGAGCAGGAAGCCAGATGTAGGGCTCCATCCCAGGACCTCGGGATCGTGACCTGAGCCAAAGGCAGATGCCCAACCAACTGAGCCACCCAGGAGCCCAAAAACCTTTTTTTTTTTTTTTTAAACAAATGGAAGAATTAACTCATTCTGTAGCTTCTTGAATACCCAGATTCCTCAACCTGACTCCTGAACATCCTGATTTCTCATCTGTAAAGGATGCTGGATCACACAGTGTCCAAGGTGCTCACTAATTCAAAACTTACCTATGTTCTCAGGAGCCCAAAAAAGACTAGCTGAGGGGTGCTTTGGTGGCTCAGTGGTTAAGCGTCTGCCTTCGGCTCAGGGCGTGATCCCAGGGTCCTGGGATCCAGCCCCACATCGGGCTCCCTGCTCCGCGGGGAAGCCTGCTTCTCCCTCTCCCACTCCCCCTGCTTGTGCTCCCTCTCTCGCTGTGTCTCTCTGTCAAATAAATAAATAAAATCTTAAAAAAAAAAAAAAAGACTAGCTGAATTTGTTTGTTTAGTTTGGGTTCTGAGAAGATGAGTGGAGCCAGCTTTGGTCTCATCTCTCTGCCCTCTCCTCCCATCACCTGCCACCACTCCATCTTCATGTCTGTGAGGTGTCTGCAGACTAAAAGGAGTGCCCTGGGCCTAATGCACATATAATGATGTCAGCTGTTGGAGCCACATCAGTACCTATAAGATTGAGCTGGAATGATACAATCAGGGTAGTAAGTCTGAGGTCAGGAAGCTCACCAGCTTGGGGCACCCCAAACTTTTTCATCAACAGCATCTTGCCTCCTTATCCAAAAGGTAAGCAATGTCCTTCACAGTGCAAAGTCGGACGCTACCAGGCAATGATGGGTGACCGAGGTTTTTCAAAAAAAAGAGAGAAGGAAATAACACTTAGAAAGCAGCAATGGGAAGCAAGGAGGACATCAGCCTTTATCACCAACCCAAATAACGTGTGGGTCATAACAGCATTCATAGCAGAAACCAGAATACATGTGGAATTGAATTAGAAGGAAAATGTTGCACACCAAAATTTGCAGACTACCACTAAAGCACTACTTTGAGGGCAATGCGTATTTAAGAAGAAAAGTTTAAATTAATGAGCCAAACGAGGTACCCATAATTGGCAAGCTTACATATTTTCCAGGTTCCAGCAACGTTTAATCAGGGTGACAGACGATGAACCGTGCATCTACTACCACCAGCAGTAGAAAAATGGAACGCATCACTGTTTTACCGTGTAAAACTAAACTGCTAGAGGTGACCTGTCTACACAGGTGAGTTAGTGGCTGAAATGGTAGAATTAAGTTATGGCAGCAGGATGTATAAAAAAAATGCAGTTTTGGTAGATTCTATGGGAGGCGATGGGAGAAGTGGGACTCACCTGAGAACAGGTGCAAGGAAATGTCGTCATGCTATTTATCATAAAGGGACAAAAGACGAAGACGAAACACCACTAACATTTGTTGCGTCCCTACTATCTGCCCAGTTCCACCCCTGTGTCATACCTGGCCCCGAGGAGATGTTCAATAAAATGTTTGTTTAAGGGATAAGTGAATCCTCAGTGTTCATTCCGCAGAAGACATGAAAGCTGAGGAAGGTGGGTGATTCACTTAGGTCACATTGTAAGTAGCAGAACTGAGGTCTGAATCCTGGTTGACAGACTGATTCATATTTATTGCTGCTTAACAAATCATTCCCAAAATTTAGTGGCTTAAAACCACAATATATTATTTCTCACAATTCTGTGCGTAGGTGGGGCTCAGCTAGGTGGTTCTGCTACTGGTCCTGTTTGGGGTTGTTCATGTGGCTGCAGTCAGATGGTGGCAGGGGCTGGAACACACAAAATGGCTTTACCTACATGTCTCCTTTCTTGACAGGGACAGCTGCAAGGCTGGGCTCAGCTGAGCTGCTGGGAAAACTGGACCTGTCCATAAAGTATCAGGGCCTTTCCTTCTCTATGTGGTCTCTCCAGGCAAGTAGCTGAATTTCTCATAAGGTAACTCAAGGCTCCCAAGAATACAAAAGGCTGAGGCTTGGCACGGGCGCAGAATCACTCCTGCCACATTCTATTGCCTAGAATGCATCACAGACCCAGCCTGGTTCTTTGTGGGAGGACTACACGAGGACCTAATGTCAGGAGGCATTGATCATTGGGGGTCATTTTTGCACACTAGCTACCACAGGTGATCCTCAGACACCAAGCCCTTAATCTTCCTATGACTTCATGCCACAATGAGCACCTACAAACCGAACATGATTGGATACTCTGCTTTAGGAAGATCATCCCTGGCAATAGAGAGGAAGGTGGCTTAGAGAAAGGGAAACCAAAAGTTTTGCAGAAGTCCACTTTGGTGGTGAAGAACTGAACCTCCGTAAGAATGGACCCAGCCCAACGGGAAGGAAGGTATGGTCTCTAATTAATCACACACTGCAGAAATGCCCACTGCGGTCAGGATCATAAAGTATCGGGGAGATAGCTTAGTACAAGAGGTGGAGGCGAAGAAGCCAAAAGAAGATTTTTAGTGTTTACCCCACGTCCCATCTAATCAGGAGTGTTTGTATCTCACCAGTGGAAGTGCGGTTTTCTTCCATCATTTCTGAGTTAGCGTACTGTTCCGGTACAGCTCCTATATAACCAGAGGACTCAACTCTCTCCCACGCATGACTGCTATCTTCCAGCTCAGTGACTCTCCGCCTTCTGGTATTTAATCCACAGAAATGTATGTTTATGTAACATATATATATATATATACTCTTAAATTTGTATGTGTACATGTGTATCTTTCATATGTATGTTTAGCTAAAGCAGAAAGTTTTACAGATCAATACTGTATGTGACATACTCTTATTTCCTATTCTCTTTCATCCTATTTTTTTTAATGCTGGCAAAGAATGTCTAAATTAATTCTGCAATCCGTTAATGGATTCTGACTTCTCCTTTGAAAACTTCCACTCTTATAGATAAGCACCTGTAACCCCAGGAATATTTAGCATTAAGCACAGAATAATGAAAGAAATCAGTCATAGCATTAATACTTCCCATTACATTTTGGAATCATCTGAAGTTGGTATTTATAATTTAAGAGAATTTAACATACTGATGTAACATTAATTTTGCAATTCCACTTCAAAGTGTCAGAGAGTAATTGATTCAGACCCATGACCTTATGTAAATATATGTAACAGAATTTAATCACATTTTAAGCAATATTGAGATTATGAGATTTTAAGATTCACCATATTAAGTTCTAAGAGTGAGCTCATGGGGCTCCTGGGTGGCTCAAGTCGTTAAGCGTCTGCCTTCGGTTCAGGTCATGATCCCAGGATCCTGGGATGGAGCCCCACATTGGGCTCCCTGCTCTGCGGGAAGCCTGCTTCTCCCTCTCCCACTCCCCCTGCTTGTGTTCCCTCTCTTGCTCTGTTTGTCTCTGTCAAATAAATAAAATCTTAAAAAAAAAAAGTGAGCTCACTACTTGGATTTTGTTTACCAAATAACTGAACTGCTTAAGAAGAAAATATGTTAAATGTATAAATGCACTTTAGTTATGAGAATATACAGAATAAAAATCCCCTTAAAATGATTTTATACGGGGCGCCTGGACGGCTCAGTCGTTTAAGCCTCTGCCTTCAGCTCAGGGTGCTGGGATCGAGCCTCGCCATGGGCTGCCTGCTCAGCAAGGAGTCGGCTTCTCCCTCTGCCTTTCCCCCTGGCTTGTGCGCGCGCGCTCTCTCTCAAATAAATAAAATCTTTAAAAAAAATTTTTTTAATTGCCAGTACATATACCACTGTAGGATATACAAGTTTGGGGTTTATAATTCTAATATTAATTATTAAAGCAAAGGTAATTTCAAAACAATCGCCAGGATGCCCGAAACCCACCCTCGAGGACATGGAAAAGGAGCTCCAGTTCCCTTGGAGCTAACCGGGGGTTCCACGGGGCGAGCAAACACGTGGCCCTTCCAAAGGAACTGGTTCTTCTTGTAGAGGAACCAGAAACCGACTTAGGAAGAAGTGAGATCGTCATTCTTCTCTACTTTATCGCCTATAATAAACATTTAAAAAAATAAAATAAAATACAACCGAAAAGCGCGAAGCGGGCCACGAGAAGACGTTTCCTCGGGGTCTGGGCCAACGCGTCCCAGGGCCCGCTTCGGTCCGAGGGAGCAGGGTGGTCCCCGAGTGGGAAGCGGGGACGAAGAGGTCCCGGGGGGCGTGGGGCGCAGGGAGCGGTCCCAGGCCCCAGGTCACCCACGCCGCGGAAAGCGGGCTCGGCAAGCTTCTGTCCGGGAAGGGTCGCCGCGACCCGCGCGGGGCCTCTCCCGCCGGCGCTTGCCGAGCTCTGCCTTCCGGAATTCCTATAATGAAGACCTAAGGGGTTGGAACATTATCCGGAAAAGCGCCTCCCCGACCCGCTTGCGGCCCGCAGGGCCGGGCACCATCCCGCGCGTCCCCGGCAACCACGCCGGCCGGCGCCACAGCGGAAGCGGGGAGGCCGCCCGCGCGCCCGCGCTCCCCCTCCCGCGCTCCGGGCGATACCACCGCGGCGGACCCCTCCGGAGGCCCGCAAAGGTATCGTCCCCAGCCTCTGATTGGCCGGCGGCGCGGGGGGCGTGGACTCCGGAGCCTGGTTCGGCGCGCCAGAGGCCGCTCGCCGCATTGCGAGCCGGGCCAGGAGCGGGCGCCATGGTGAGGAGTGGTTGCGGGTGGGATGGAGGCCGAGGTTTGGGCCCGAGTGCGGGCGGAAGCCCGGGCCGGGGTTGGAGCCGGGGCCAGAGCCTGCCGTGGGAGCCGGGGCGGGCGAACGCGGGGACGGCGCTGATGCTCGCGCCCCGGCTCTCTTCCAGGTGCTGCTGCACGTGCTGTTCGAGCACGCGGTCGGCTACGCGCTGCTGGCGCTGAAGGAGGTGGAGGAGATCAGCTTGCTGCTGCCGCAGGTGGGTGAAGGCGGCGGTGGGCTGGCCGGCCGCGCCGCAGCCCCTCGGGCCCCGGGGCCCCAGCATGCACCGCGCGCTCCCACGTGGCCGGCCGCGCACTGGGGGGTGCGCTGGGCCCGAAAGCTCTAGGGCCGGGCCGGGGCGGGGGTCCTCACCCGCGTTCGTGACTAGAGTCGCGTTAGGAGCATTTAGAAGTAAGCCCCCCGGACTCCTCCCCGTACGATGAAGCCGACCGGGATTTAGGGCCTATCTCTAAAGGGCTCATTTACGCAGCGTGCGGTCGGTTCTCACCTGCGACCAGGGCTGGGAACCGCTGCTTTACTGCGCCCTAGAGGCAAGAGCGAGGGAAGAAAACCACTCGTGCTCTGTTCTCCCCCAAGGTAGAGGAGTGCGTGCTCAACCTGGGCAAGTTCCACAACATCGTTCGTCTCGTGGCCTTTTGTCCTTTTGCCTCGTCCCAGGTTGCCTTGGAAAATGCCAACGCTGTGTCCGAAGGTGAGTCGGCCACAACCGAGTATTTTAGGGAGATGAACGGAGGTTTAGTTGTTGTTGATCTTATCCTCATGGGGGGTTTGTGATAGCACTTTCCTTTCCCTGGCTAATTTGTTGTAAGTCAGGTACGTGTTGAGCAGTATTTGGTGTGTACAGGATGTGGTTTAAAACAGAGCCCAAGGTCTGGGGAATATGGTATTATACTAAATGTTTAAAGTGCACAATCCAGGACCCAGGCTTTGTGGGTGGTAGATGATTCTTAAGTGAAATCTGGTAGGTGGTTCTTTGGTCATTGTTGAAGTGATTGGAAAAGGCAATGTTGGTACGGAAGAGCCAAGGAAAAAGGTTTGGCCCCAGGACATGTAAGTCAGATACTAAATACGTGTCTCCACAGTGCCCCTCGGTATGGTTTAAGGTTTCAATTTTGTACTTCACACACGTGCTGTTGGACCAGAGTCCTGTTCCTTCCACGGTTGATGCAGGCTTTGCAGTGATGACTTAAGTCTGTCAATCCCCTGAGTGCAGTCACTGATGTCTCCATGTCTCTGAGCAAAGCCTAAAGCAAGGAAGGATGTAGGCATGCCATCTCAGCATGCCCCGTGGGACCAGTGTGGGGTCAGTTTGTCACGGAATCAGCGGTTAAGGGGACAGATCCCTTTTATGATTTAAGCATTCTTCAGCGTGTTAGTGGGAGCTCTGTTCTTTGCCTTGAGGTGTTGTTCATGAGGACCTCCGTCTGCTCTTGGAGACTCACCTGCCATCCAAAAAGAAGAAAGTACTCCTGGGGGTTGGAGACCCCAAGATCGGTGCTGCTATACAAGAGGAGTTAGGGTACAACTGCCAGACTGGAGGCGTGATAGCTGAGATCCTGCGAGGTGGGAGCATCCGTTAACATTCTTGACATCTTTGAGAGGGGATCTGGAAATTTAATCAGGGTGCCTAAGGTCGCTTCTGGGAAGCCCTTCTGCTTGGCTGGCACCCATGGGTGCCGGAGCTGGCCTAGAGCCTTCTCTTGCTCACTGTCTTGCCCTCCTCCAGGGGTTCGTCTGCACTTCCACAACCTGGTGAAGGGTCTGACGGATCTGTCTGCTTGTAAAGCCCAGTTGGGGCTGGGACACAGCTATTCTCGGGCCAAAGTTAAGTTCAATGTGAACCGGGTGGACAACATGATTATCCAGTCCATCAGCCTCCTGGACCAGCTGGATAAGGACATCAATACTTTCTCCATGCGTGTCAGGTGAAGTGGCCCAGCGACCCCGGAGAACGGGGTCTTTGGCCTGTGGTTTAGCGAATTTTGAATGCTGAAATCAGGACTAGCTCCTGTGGGTAGAACAATGTGGGGTGGGGCCGAGCCTCCCGGTGCTTACCACAGGCTGTGTTCTTACACTGACTGTACAGAAAGAGGAGGTAGAGTAAACCCACCCATATACACCCCAGCCCGGGCTCTTTGCCGGGTCTGTATTGTGAATGGGGGGACATGGAGTTGGGGTTTTGAATTGGACTTGGTCCCTTTTCTCTGGGCAAAGAATAGATACGGAGAGGGCTGAGGCTGTAGCTTCGAGACCTAGCCGCTGGGCAGGGAGTGATTGTGGCTCTTTGCAGGGAGTGGTATGGGTATCACTTTCCTGAGCTCGTGAAGATCATCAACGACAATGCTACATACTGCCGCCTTGCTCAGTTCATTGGAAACCGAAGGGAGCTGAATGAAGAAAAGCTGGAGAAGCTGGAAGAGCTGACGATGGATGGGGCCAAGGCTAAGGCTATTCTGGACGCCTCGCGATCCTCCATGGGTCAGTACAGCCTAGTGGCCAAGATAAGTTTGGGGCTGTGACTGTCTGGTCCTGCATTCACACTGCGTGTCCCCAGGCATGGACATATCGGCCATCGACCTGATAAACATCGAGAGCTTCTCCAGCCGTGTGGTGTCTTTGTCAGAGTACCGCCAGAGCCTGCACACTTACCTGCGGTCCAAGATGAGCCAAGTAGCCCCCAGCCTCTCGGCCCTAATTGGGGAAGCGGTGCGTCATGGGGAACACAAAACGGGGCTAAGGAATGTTACAACATAGGTCCATACTGCTATACTTCCTGACCTACTGTTCTCTAACCCCAGGTGTACTTGATGGGGTGAAGCAGAATTGTGCAGTTGGTAGATTGGCAATTGCAGCTTCTCTAATTCCTTGAATCCTTTTCCAGGTAGGTGCACGTCTCATTGCTCATGCTGGCAGCCTCACCAACCTGGCCAAGTATCCAGCGTCCACAGTGCAGATCCTTGGGGCTGAAAAGGCCCTGTTCAGGTACCAGTGAGGGCACCTGCCCACACTCAGGTGCCACATCTGGTGCCCACTGCTTGTTTGGGGATCACAGTGATGGCTGACCAGGGCTCCCTGACCCATACAGACCTCTGCTATGGGGGTGATGGCCAGTCCTGGTGTCTGAGTGATTCCCAGGGCCCAGCAAAGGGACCAGATTTCCAGGTCAGCGACATTGGATGCCTTCCCTCTGCCTCTGGGAGCTGTGGGTTGGCATGAGGTGGGGTCAGCAGCCTGAGGCTCACCCTGGACACTGAGGGTACAGGGGAGGGGAGGAGCTGCCTTGGCTAGTAGGGTTGAAATTTCTGATCTTAAAACTCCCCACTGAATATTCTTCTCCCAGAGCCCTGAAGACAAGGGGTAACACCCCAAAATATGGACTCATTTTCCACTCCACCTTCATTGGCCGAGCAGCTGCCAAGAACAAAGGCCGCATCTCCCGATACCTGGCAAACAAATGCAGTATTGCCTCACGAATTGATTGCTTCTCTGGTATGGGTGGGAGGGGGGCTTGGAGGAGAAGGGGCTGGGGGGGAGGGAAGGCTGACTACCTAGCAGCTTCCACAATGATGGCAGTATTTTTCGTCAACAGCAGTTCACCTAGTGAGTGTTGATACTTTGGGTCTGAGTGAAGCTGAGGGTAGAGGGAAAATGGGCTGGGGAGTAGCTAGCCCTGAAGGGGCTGACAGGCTTTGTTTATCCACACATACACACACACATCTAGAGGTGCCCACAAGTGTATTTGGGGAGAAGCTTCGAGAGCAAGTTGAGGAGCGGCTGTCCTTCTATGAGACCGGAGAGATTCCACGAAAGAATCTGGATGTCATGAAGGAAGCAATGGTTCAGGTCAGTTGGGGCTTTGCTGGGTTGGGGGAGGACCAGAGCTGGCTGTTGGAGGTGATGAACTGGCTTAGCCTGACCCTGTTAGAATGGAGGCGAAAAACTGATTTAATGAGCCTGATCCGATGAAGCCAGAAGGGAGGCCTGGACAGCCTTAAGTCTTCAGGGCCTCTTGAGCACCTTTCTTTGGCCAGGCAGAGGAAGCGGCTGCTGAGATGGCTAGGAAGCTGGAGAAGCAGGAGAAGAAACGCTTAAAGAAGGAGAAGAAACGGCTGGCCGCCCTGGCCCTCGCATCTTCAGAAAACAGCAGTAGTACCCCGGAGGAGTGTGAGGTCAGTAGGCAGGCCAGCCCTTAGCCCAGGGTGGAGACCCTGGATGTAGGACTCTCAACAGCAGAACAAAGGATGTGCTACCTGAAGCCATGGTCTTGAGTCCAGGCTTTTGGACTGAAATAAGGACCTGAAACATCTCAACTACCTCTTGATTCTATAGGAAGGAGATAGGTGCTGAGAGAACTGGCTCAGGAGCTCACAGAGCTGGTTGTAGCACACCGGGTCCCTGGGCAAGTGTTCTGTCCTCGGCTGCCTCCCAGGAGTCCTCAACCGGGGGTAGTGTAAATCCCTGCTCTGCGCGTTCTCAGCCGTGTGTCCGGAGGCGGTGGCATTTCCTAGTGGGGCTTGGGGCAGGGAGGTCTCCATGCTGCCACCTCAGGGGTACCCCCCACCCTGGGATTTTCATGGAGTGCCCAGTTTGTCAAGTAGTTTCTCAGGGTCCCCTTTGCAACATGGCATGATGGTTCTATTGTGGGGTATTCTATAAGCTATTTCATGGGCTTAGATAACACATTTCTCCCTTTCTAAGTGGGAGTCACCTTTGGGGTGGATTTCCAATGTCTGTTAAAAACCATCCCAGAAACACTGGGCAATTTTCACATCATTTCTACTACTTTCTGCCCCAACTACTTAGTTGCTGGAATTTTAATAGAGGTGTGTGTGTTCATACAATGGATGAGGGTTTCATGCCCATTTCATTCTTTAGGAGACAAGTGAAAGACCCAAAAAGAAGAAAAAGCAAAAGGCCCAGGAGACTCCACAGGAGAACGGAATGGAAGACCCGTCTGTCCCTGTCTCCAAACCCAAGAAAAAGAAATCTTTTTCCAAGGAGGAGCTGGTTAGTAGTGATCTTGAAGAGACAGCTGCCAGTGTAAGTCTTCCCAAGAGGAAGAAATCTGCCCCCAAAGAGGAACCAATTACTGATGCTGAAGAGGCAGCAAATAGAAGCATCCCCAAGAAAAAGAGGAAATTCTCTTCCAAGGAGGAGCCACTCAGCAGTGGACCTGAAGAGGCTGCCGGTGGCAAGAGCAGCAGCTCCAAGAAAAAGAAAAAGCTCCAGAAGCTATCCCAGGAAGATTAGAACGGACGTTTACCTGGTGGGGGGTGTAACCCACATGACCTTTCCCAGCCCATCCCTTATATCCCAATAAAAACAACTTCACAAGAGTCAATATATATGTGTTTTATTGAACACCTTACATGGGTATGGGTGGGACCTATTGAGGCAGAGCACCAATGACCGCCTCAGTGAAGTCTTGGCAGGTGGCATAGCCACCCATGTCAGAAGTTCGAACCTGTAGGGGAGAATTGTCATCATCCCTGTGGCCGAGGCCCCGTCCCTAACCTCTCCCCCACCCCCCACCCCCACCTGATAACACCATTCCCTAAGGAAGCCAGCCCCAGGACAACCTAGGCTCTGCCCAGATGATTATGGTCTAAAGGTTTAAGAACTCTTCTCTGGTCCACTGTACTGAAGGGAGGTGTAGGTAGTATGGTCCTTGTGAGGTTGGAGGGAATAAAGGGGTCTAGCCCCCATGGGGGTGCAGGTGGCCGATGACAGACTTGATGAAGTCGGTTGTGGTGCTGTAGCCGCCCATGTCTCGAGTCCGCACCTACAGCCACCACCGGCAAGAGCCGTGGGGAAGAAGAGAAGAGAGCCCATGAAGGGGGGATAGGGCAATGTGATGGAAATGGAATCCAAGAAAGGATGGCAAGGCCAGGAAGAAGATGCAATGCAGCAGAGTCGCAAGGAGGTGGCCAGGTGTGCGACAGCGTGGGCCCATCTGCTCCCAGCTGAGGGTCAGAACCACTCTCAGAGCTATGCTGCGGGCCTGGGCAGGATGGGAGGGAGGCTGAGCATGAAGTGAGATGGGAAATGCAAATCAGAGACAGGATGAGGAGGCCTTGGAGGAAATCAGACCAGGTGGGAGGAAAGGCCAGGGAATGCAGACAAGGGTGGGCTTCCAGGTGTGGAGAAGGTGACACCTGTGCCTCATCCTGCCTGCTATCTCCCTCTGCTCCTCCATCCCCTGTGCTCTCTCCCCAGAAAAAGAGCCCCAAGTGCTGCATTA